TAAACAAGCATGGGCCGAAAATCAACAGAATTGACGAACGGTGTACGAAAATTGATTGTTGAAATGAAGTTAGAAGGTAAAAAGACATCTTAAATTGAAAATTTATAGTAGGAATATCGGAATCTACAATAAGATCAATCTGGAAAAAAATATTTAGGCAAAGCTGATAGAAGAGAGAATGCAAAACAAGATGTCACAGCGGGGTCGAAGCTGACTCGTCTCTCACACAAAAATGAACAGGGAGCGTGTACTAATGGTATTACGAATGATTCTTACTGTTCAAAGTAAGGATGTAAATCATCATGTAGTGTTGTAGATCTACATCCACGGACAAGGCAAAGATTTTTCACCTGAATTTGAGAGACAAGTAGTGAAAAATACGATGGTTGTGTCACAGGTCAGCTGAAGCGCATGTCATTGTGTTTGGAGAAGAGAAAACATACTGTTACTACTAGTAATTATTGGAATTCCGTAATCTTCTCCAATGAAAGTTAGATCATTCTCAACTTCTGGGTGAAAACCATAGAGTAAACGTTAGGAGAACATCAAAAGAAGAGTTACTTCCCCCAGTACACGTGTTCTCCGCGACAGAGAAGGGTCATTCTCTATCCAGAGTTATCTACCCGTGTATGTGGAAGAGAAGCGAGAACGACAACTCTGGATAGAAAATGAGAGAAGGGTGTCTATATTATGGTGTGGATTTGTATTACATATATATTGTGGAGTTGGAACCCCTGTGGCGGATCCAGGTATTGAAGTTAGAGGGGGCGTCAAAAGTAGGCAAGGGGCTGGAGTACACCTTAAGGTGGGGGCCCAGGTGGCGAAGCCCCCGGAAGCTCCTGGATTCTAAAGATTTGTAAGGTAAAATAAGGTCTATCAGGTACTGAGGTAGACATATTTACATTTTCTAGACGAAACTGTGATTTTCGCTAACTTTGACTAAACCCTTTGCCCTTTCAACGGTAATATAAATGAAGAAAAATATTTTGCGATTTTAGAAAACCATTTATTATCTGTAATTGCTACAAGCTAGAAATTAAATTCTTACTGTTGTGTGGATGGCACAGTCCCCTGACATCAATATTATTGTCGCCCACGCGCGCAGTGGTTAGAGCTTCTGCTTTAGAGTCCCGAAGTAAGTTGTCGCGGGATCGAATCCCACTTTGGGGCATGGCGACTGGTCCTTCGGTATGAGACTGTATAAACTGAGGTCTCAATATCGCAGTAGGTACTGGCATGAAAAAGGTCCCTCCCTACTCAATGGCCCTGAGTGCCAAGTATAGGTTAAGTGAAATATTCAAGAGTCTTTCAGATATAACCTTAAAACGCAGGTCCCGTGTAACTGTAGGCATTGGCACGATAAAGAACCTAAACTACTGCTCAATGGCCCTGAGAGCCGAGTATGGGTCAAAATTTGCAACTCTTCACCAGCAAGTGAAGAGTAAAACATTCTCCACCAGAGTTTTTTCGAGGTCTTAAAAACAAGGGCCTGGGCCTTTCTAATTGGGATAAATAGCGACATTTGGTTGACATGCATTGGGAAAAGTATCATATTTAATATTTTTCTATATAAATTCAAATAAGATAGGCTTTGTTTTATTTGCAAAGTATTTCTTTGACTTATTTTGCATTCAGTCAATTAGTTTTGGGAGAATGCCTTTTAGATTTTTTTTTTTGGAACAACACTTTTGATCAAAATGTTACTGCGTTTGAACACTTTTTAACCGGTTTGTTTGTTTCGATTCTCTTTTGGGAATTTTTTTTCAATGAAATTGGAAAAAACACATACTTTTTACCATTGGGAATGGGGCCTTATACAGGCCCCCTACGACCCCTAAAAAAACTCTGTCAACAAGAATGGTAATCAATCAATCAATCAATACTGAGAATTTGTAATAAGACAGGTTTAATACTGGTTTAATCAAATAAATCTATAATTTTTATGATTTTATGAGAATGGATAGTACTACAAAAAAATCATAAATTATAATATTATTGTTTTTACATCAAAGAGGGTTCACCCCTTAATATAATTATGCCAACAATTAATTAGCTTGATTCAGGATTGTATAATATTACACTTGAGAAGCATGCAATGAATTAATAAAAAATTAAATGGTTTTAGTCTCATACCTCGGGTCCAAAAAAGATGTAGATAATAAGATTCACAATTTAATATCTCCTTCATTTATTGCTGCTTTCTACCCAAAATGGTCAAAGCTGATTCAGTTTTTCTATAGAACAAGCTAGAATATGACAGAAAATGCACAAGTAACAAGAACAAAACAGACAGGTTAAAAATCACGAGTGACATACATATCTGTAACCCTTCATATTGGGAATTTACCTACCTCTGTAGATATATAGAATTATGTAATTCACACAAAATTCTTGATCAGAATTATGTTCTTACAGTATTTCATTCTATGCAAATCAGATTCCTAAAAGTTGTATATAAATTACATATGGTCAAATGAGACTGTATAATATATATTTGTTAGTATAATATAAATTTAAGACATCCATTCAAAAATAAATAATCTAATTTGATTCAGGGTGCTAATTCAAATCATAAAAACTTTAAAAGAAATAACAACTTTTCCTTAATAAGAAGAACACATATATCACAGAATATAGACCCGTTTTGTTATCAAATTATTTCAAACATAAAATGTCAGAAATTTTTCTTCACAGCATTTTTAGAGTCCACAATGTCTGTACAATGATGTGTCATGGACTCCAAGTGACATTTTTTCATATAAAGTTCATTATTCACACCTCTAGATCTTGCTTTGTCGCCCATGACGACCCACTTCACACCTCTAGATCTTGCATTGTTGCCCATGACAACCCACTTTTGACCTTGACTGGCATTTTAACAGACAAGGTCATGGCTGACTCCATTTCCTGTTTGATGACCTTGGCTGCTTGTCTCAGACAGGTCTCTGTCACGTCATAAATCAGTTCATCATGAAGTTGTAGAACTAAACAACATCTGTCATCAGATAAATCAACAGTAGGACCTAAATCCAACAAAATATGATAAGTACTAAAACTTGGTTATCAGTTGCTTTGAATTGATAATCTACTAAATCAAGTTTACATAGAGGTGTTAGTGAAGCACTGAATCTATTGTGTAGCAGCTTATGGTCACTGATTCCCTTGCTTAGCAGCTTATGGTCAAGTTTAATTTTACAAATACAGTTCAAGGTCACATTACCAACTGAAAGGTTTTATCATAAGGAATGAACACATGTAATATGAGAGCCTAAGCACCAGTCCTGTTGGTCATCTTATTTCAAACAAATACCAGTAAAATCTTACTCAATAATTTTTCAGGTTTTTAATAAATATACATTGAAGATATATAAACTTGCCTTGTTCCCTGTGTGAGAGTGATTTCTGTGAGATAGGAAATATTTCTGAGAGTCTCTGATCAATTCTGTTCATGGCGACCTTGACAAGGTCAGCAGCTGACCCCTGAACTGTGGTGTTAACAGCCTGTCTCTCTGCCTGGGAGGAGAAAGGATTATGTAATAAGACCTTGATAAGAGGTACATTGTATTGCATAAGGGGCTGTGTTACTAACATAGGCCCAGACAATAATATGTGTTACTTAAATAATAGGCCCTGACATAGGTGTTTGTGTTACTTACATGAGCCCTGACATAGGGGTTTGTGTTTGAGATGGATGGTAGATACCGTCGTCGCCCGCTGATAGTTTCCACAAACTTGTCCTTGATACATTTATCCACGGTGTTCTTAAGGTATCGTCTCATTCCTAAAACATAATTAGTATGTCACATTATACATTGCTTTTAATTTTTTCAATCTCAACAGTTAACATCAATATGATCATACCAGGGTATTTGGACTTGAAGGTCTGCATAAAAACTGCTGCATCATTTTCATCCACTCCCAATGTCTCACCCAGTGCCTTGGCACCAATACCATAGATCATACCATAGCAAATCTGTATAAAGACATGAATACCATAGATCATACCATAGCAAATCTGTATAAAGACAACAATACCATAGATCATACCATAGCAAATCTGTATAAAGACAACAATACCATAGGTCATACTATAGCAAATCTGTATAAAATGTATAAAGACATAAAATCCATAGATCATACCATAGCAAATCTTATTTAAAGACAACAATACCATAGATCATTCTATAGCAAATCTGTATAAAGACAACAATACCATAGATCATACCATAGCAAATCAGTATAAAGACAACAATACCATAGATCATACCATAGTAAATCTGTATAAAGACAACAATACCATAGATCATACCATAGTAAATCTGTATAAAGACAACAATTCCATAGATCATACCATAGCAAATCAGTATAAAGACAACAATACCATAGATCATACCATAGTAAATCTGTATAAAGACAACAATACCATAGATCATACCATAGTAAATCTGTATAAAGACAACAATTCCATAGATCATACCATAGCAAATCTGTATAAAGTGTATAAAGACATCAAAACCATAGATCATACCATAGCAAATCTGTATAAAGACAACAATACCATAGATCATACCATAGCAAATCTGTATAAAGACAACAATACCATAGGTCATACTATAGCAAATCTGTATAAAATGTATAAAGACATAAAAACCATAGATCATACCATAGCAAATCTTATTTAAAGACAACAATACCATAGATCATTCTATAGCAAATCTGTATAAAGACAACAATACCATAGATCATACCATAGCAAATCAGTATAAAGACAACAATACCATAGAACATACCATAGTAAATCTGTATAAAGACAACAATACCATAGATCATACCATAGTAAATCTGTATAAAGACAACAATTCCATAGATCATACCATAGCAAATCAGTATAAAGACAACAATACCATAGATCATACCATAGTAAATCTGTATAAAGACAACAATACCATAGATCATACCATAGTAAATCTGTATAAAGACAACAATTCCATAGATCATACCATAGCAAATCTGTATAAAGTGTATAAAGACATCAAAACCATAGATCATACCATAGCAAATCTGTATAAAGACAACAATACCATAGATCATACCATAGCAAATCTGTATAAAGACAATAATGCCAAAGATCATATCATAGCAAATCTGTATAAAGACAACAATACTACAGATTGTACCAATTTGAGCAAATTCTTGTTAAGATAATAGTATCATTGACCATACCTTAGCAGTTCTGTATACAAACAATATCATATATTTTACCATAGCAGATCTAAATGAAGACAATAATACAATAGATGGGGAGGGGGCCATTTTTTCAGCAGCAAATTATATTCATACACTACAAGAGACCTGATTTAGCTTACATTCCCTGTTTAGATTGACCTTTTGACCCCAAACATTCTCTCACATGTGAAGATTACTAATCTGACCCCATGACCCCTAACCTGTTTAGATTAAATTACTAACCCTGTGACTTTTACCTGTTAAGAGTATCTTTTTGACCCCATGACCTCTCACCTGTTTAGAATAACCTTTTGAAACCATGACCCCTAACCTGTTAGCTTGCTGTCTCTCTGACCTTTTGACCCCATGACCCTCATCTCTTTAAAATGACCTTTTGACCCCGTGACCCCTAACCTGTTAAGCCTGCTTTCTCTGACCTCTTGACCCCATGACCCCTTACCTGTTTAGCCTGCTGTCTCTCTGACCTTTTTACCCTGTGACCTCTCACCTGTTTAGCTTGCTGTCTCTCCTCTGGAGTGACCTCCTCCACGCTGATTGACTTCCACTGAGCCGTGATCAGTTTGAAAACATCCCCATTACCGTTCAGGATCTGTATCAGCTTGGCATCTTGGGATAGATGTGCAATCATGCGTAACTCCAACTGAGAGTAGTCAGCTGCTAACAAAACTCCCCCTACATTAAAAATGCATGCGCACATATATAATTTATGATTTGCCAAGAGAGAATGGGCCACATTTTTAAATCATAATATCCATTTTATGTATTCAGAAGTGCACATCTAAAGAAATTCATGCAGTTAACTCAAAGTAATCCTCCTGAACTCACAGTAAATCAACTTGTATTTTTGGGTTTTTATAGATCTTTTAAAATGATAAAATCAAAATATCTACCGTAAATAATATTGGATCTACAGTATTTTCTGTACATAAAATATGAAAATATATAATTTAATAAAAACAAATTAATGTTACCTGGAAAAGGGATGAAGGCATGTCTCATGCTGACGTTGAATGAAAGATCAGTTGTCATCTGAAGAACTTTGGTTTGGTTCCTTACAGAGTTACGGGTCCTGCCTAGAGGACTAGCACACTCCATCTGTTGGTCAGTGGTTTTTGGAACTGTTAAATATACAAAGGTTTATTTGTACAATCCCAACACATCAGAATACATAAAGATCTTTATACCATCTTAAAATGACAATCAAAAAACTTAATTGCATCAATTTAAAACTTTATCCCATACAGTCTCATTTCTGACAATTTATTCAGAGAGATCAATGGCTCACTTAGACTGGTACACAGACCTGAGGCAGAGATCTGGAAATCTTTTGGAACATTCTGTAGGTTAGGTTCAGACAGACTGACCCGTCCTGTGGCTGAGAAGTACTGGACATCTGTACATATCCTGTACATCTTTAACCTCTCCACGTACACTTTCTCCTTCTGCAGGGCAAACACCACCTTGGTCAGGGCCCCACTGATCCGGCGCCACTCCAGGAGGATCCCAGCAAGCGGGTGGTAGGGGCGCAGTTTTTCCAGGACGTCCTTACTGGTAGAAAACTGGGTCTTCTGGCGCCCTCTACGTCCTGTGGGGGCTCGTCTGTTGGGTCTGGTAGGCTGTCCTAGACTGCTGGGGTCACCATTAACAGGGAGCTGTAGTTCTATAAAGAGCACCTGTCAAAGAGATATATTTCTATAAATAGAACCTGTCAAAGAGATATAGTTCTATAAATAGTACCTGTCAGAGTGATTTATAAGATAGTCTTACTCAGGTGAATAGAGATGAGAATTTTTTAATTAAACTTAATATGACCCTGATCAGGATTGACATTTAGGGAAAGGTTACATATTATTACTAACCTGTGACAGATCTTCAGTTGAAGTCAGAGAAAACTGGTGCCCCACTAGCTGGTACGCCTCATTCTCAAGTTCACCGAGTCGTTCTATCATCACTGTCTTCTGTCTCTCACACTCCTCATCATTAAAACCTGTATTTGTATTTTTTATATATTATTGTAGAATTGATTATCTAAAACTATATTATTTTCCCATGAAGAAAATGATGGTTAGTTTCAGATAAGATTTATGAAAGCATTTGAGCATCTACATGAACAAGACTAATGACCTATTCAATAAAAAACAGATCATCATCAGTCAGGTGTTTGTTTTCCTGAATGTGTAAAGAATCACTTTCTATATAGTCTGGTCCTGATTTTTAAAAAGAAGGCTAGAAATAACTTCTAACGGCAAATAATTATTATTTGGTCCAGCATAGTATTTTAACCTATTTCGAGTATGCTGAATCCGAAAAAATATGCTGGCCTTCATGAAAATGGCCTTAAGGAGGTCAAAATGGCGATTCAAAATGGCGGACATCAAATTTTTCTAATTTTCTTTTAATGTCGTTCAAAATGGAGAAGTAATGAGTGAATGTCTAACTGATAGTGATAAAACTATAGAAAATATAATAGAATGCTAATATTACTAGTTTAACTCAGAAAATTTAGTCGTTTCTACACTTAATTCGAATTTTCTCTGATTTATTTGTCTATTGTTTCTTTATTTTTCTTTGTTGAGGATTTTACGTTTGCAAACATCCATACACTGCAGATTTGTGTAATTTTTCCACTACATCTCACTATTCTACAATTGAATGATGGTGCAGCTGAAAGTTAGAAGTCAAAATGGCGATTCAAATGGCGGATATTACCTTTTTTCAAATTATTTCTTAATGTCGTGTACATAGGAGAAAGAATTTGTGAATACCTTATTGAGCGAAGTACATCTATGTAACATTCCAAAAGAACACTAATATGATCACTTTAAATCGGAAAATTTAGTCGTTTAAATTCAAAATGTGTTATTTAGCTCAAAATGGCAATTCAAATGACGTTTTATGCACTTGATTTCGTAAAATAGCATAGTGCTTAATTCTGATTAATTCGTTTTGCAGAAATTGATTACAGGTTTTTCTTTATTCATGAAATAATGTTCAAATATGTTATGAAAGTTGGAGGATATTTTTGTTTATGACTTATGATCTTTATAACACGGATTTTTGTTTAATTACTTCTATTATTAAGATAAATTTTTGACGGCAATTCCGAAGACATTTTACCTATTACCCTTCTTATCATGCTTCTTCATATTAAAAGTTAAATAATATCATACAATGATTGCTGTTTTGAGGACAATATGTAAAATTAAGCTACCCAAGAGAAGTATTCCCCGAGCATTAAGGCAAGTGAACATTGTAGTTCGAGGGTTGCTAAATCATATCAGTTGTTGGAAATTCTTGATCTATTTCTAGTCCAGTGTAGAAAAAAAAATAAATGTTTATGTTCATCTTTAAGGTCTAGTGCAACATAACTTAGTATGATTTTTAAAATGATGAACCACGACCAATTAGAGGGCTAGTAATTGTTACA